CGATTCCTAGCAAATCTCGTGTTTCTAAACACCCCTCATCTAAATTTTCGACACCATGCTTCGTTAACAATAACTCAAAAGTCAAACATGATACTGTATTTATTCATTTTTGCATGTTTTAGATTGATGTATGAGTATATGCATATATGATTGCGTTATTTTCAGAGTTGATATTTAGAAAAGAATGCTGTGGTAACTAAGCTCAGTTGCTGGGCCAAAGTTGCTGGAAAATAATCTCTGATTACATTTTTGCACTCTGATTTCCCTGGTTATTGTTTCATTTTGTAATTTGAAATTGTAATATTGCTTGATATTCTAGCACAATGTTCCCCAACCCGTGGTCTGTGAAAGCTCTTTGCTGGTCTGTATAAGGAAATTTTCTTAAGCATAATGCATTTAACAGAACTTGCAATGGAGTAAGTTACAGTATCTCAATTTGAAAATGTTGCAAGACAATTGCAGTTAAAATTATCTCATGAAAATTAAAAGTTGGATTTTCTTATAATAACACTTCAAACAAAGTTTCAGCTAATGGAATGACTTATTCAAATTTTTCTTTCTGAGAAAGGCTTGTTCAAGCCAACCTTCCTAATTTTTGGAGACATTTCATTAAACCTGCTTCATTGGTTCTCGACTCTATTCATTTTTTCAAAAAGCAGAAACCTCTTCTATACCTTCTATGAAGTATTTCAGGCAAAACTTTCTTGAGTGTTCAAAATATTTACAAAAGTTTGCGGAGTAGGTGCAGAATATTTTTTGAAAATTTGTCAGTCCACAAATATTTTTTTGGAAATTTGCTGGTTGCAGACCCAAAAAGGTTGGGTAACACTGTTCTTGCATGTGCTGGATTTATTTTGTTGTTCATTCAAAAAAATTTTAGAATACCTTTTCGCAAATTAGAAGTCCACATGCGCCAAAACCTCGAGCAGCAAAATTCCACTCGTAATTCATGGACTTCATGATTGTCTCAAATTATAAAAGCTAAAAATATTTTCCATGCATAACTTCGAAGTATGAATTTTTCAGAATGATGAGGTTCAATTCGATTACGTGAACTGCATAAATAATTTTACAAAGCACCGGCATTTTCTTCCGTTTTTTTCTTCATTTTGAAAATTTAAAAGATTGGTTAACGGGCAGTACTTATTCTGGGTGAACGTGGCCCTGCAAAAAGGTAGGGCAGTACTTTTGACGCGCTTTTCGGAATGATCAAATTTCCCCCGAAATATTTACGATTCAAATTCCCAGAGTCTCATTACTTTTTTTTCTTGTTTAAAATAAAAATACCATTTTGCAAATACCTTACCTTTACAGACTCGTCATCGACTTCGACTTGGGTGTTATACTTCCCACAGCCCTTTCGACAGGTTTCAGAGCTCACTACAAACGTTAAATAAGTGGGTGGAACCCGGGAATGGTTGTCAAGGCTGCTGTTGAATTAGGTTAACAGGAAAAAAGAACATATTAAAAAATGTGCCACTCATTTCGATTTTCTTTTAGCTGAAATATACGTATGCCATTGTCGACTTAAATTCCGCGCAGTATATAATAACTGTTTTCTTCTTCGAACATCAGAGAGCACGAGGATATAAAGGCCCGGAAAAAATAATCCCATCATTTTCCGAAAGGAACCAGAATCTTTTATATATATATATATATATTTTATGTCCTGGGACATTTTTCGAATCTCGTCCCTTCTTGAACAAAGGAACTTTTCGTCACGTGTTTTATCTGGGTGACACTGGGGAATTTCCCAAAGGCGCATCACGTCCACGAATATATTTTATCGCTCGGTCACATTCTTTTTGATATTAAATGAAGAAAGTCAGGAGATTTCCAGCTCATTTTTCTCGCTGTATTTTTCACGAGGAGAGATTTTTTAAAATGTGGCTTCCTTCAGCATGAATTTTATCCAGCAGAGACGAATTTCATTCCGCAGGCTGCGGAAAAATCAAATTTCATCAGTATTTATTTATGTTTATCTGATGATGGTAGATTTATTTTTTTTCGCAAGAGAGGACGAGGTTCGGGATTGGATGCATTTCTTGTCTTTCTGGTACATATCGAGGGGGATTTTTCGGACAGAAGTTTGTTTGGCAGGTCGGTGTGAAGTGTCTGTATTGTGTGTATTCCAGGATGTGGAACAGATTCGGATCGGTGAGCCGCGTCCTGGAACTTCACGACCATTTCTTCAAGCCATTCGAGTTGTACAGACCGGGTTCCTATGACGGGTTCCTCCGGGGCCTTGCCAACCAACCTTGCCAGCAGTATGACCAGTTCTTCACCGAATCCGTGAGACAATCTTTATCATTGTTTTCCTCGAATGACGACTGACGAGTAACAGATTGTGCAAACAATTCATAATATAAAAATCAAGAATAATATAAGATACATGATATAAATTGAAGAAATAAAAATAAATTAGACTGCAGGAATAAAAAGTGGTTCTCTTCAGCTCAGCTTCTTTAATTTAAATTACAATGAGTCCCCGCGCCGAACAACGAAAAATCTAAAACTCCTGAAATTCGTTGAGGGAAAATGTGACTCACGTAATCAAATTGTTTCGCTCGACGGAATTTTTGGTCGAGGACAAATTTGAAAGTGTGGGAAGAAACAGCAGTTGTTTTATTTAGTTGAACTTTTGTCCTGTACAGTCCCCGCATAACGAATGACTTGTATAATGAAAATCGAAAATGCCACCCAAAAGTAACTTCTTTTTTTGTTGCAGGAATGCTAAAAAATTTGGGGTTTTATTCAACTATGGCTCTTTCAATTATTCTTGTTTTCTACATTTTTTCACGCCTTGTGGCACACTATTTTGCAGATAAATCTCAGCACCGTCACCCACAAGGGTTACTGACGCAAACATGGCTCACAATAACAAAAAGTTTTCGCAATAAAACTATTCTTGTCGTGAGGCCTTATATATTCCAGTGAAGTGGAAATATTTGAAACAAAAAATTTCAATTTTTACAGTTTCTGAGAGGTACAATTTCATAAGCAGAAGAAATAAATAAAAGCTACAAACACGACCCTCGAGAGTCGCCTCGACTTGGCATTCGTTGTTCGTACACACAGTATTTCGTCGCTGTTCAGCAGGGGGTTTTCTGCTCACGCAACCCGACAGAAAAGTGAACTTATTTCTGACTCCTCGTCGCTCTTTTTTTTTTTTCCAGGTCGTGGGCCGGCTTTTCCAAGCAGGCAGAATGCCCTTCGGAATGGACCTGGTAGCCCTGAATTTGCAAAGAGGCCGGGATCACGGAATCCCCTCGTACAACGAATACCGCGCGGAATGCGGTCTGCGGAAAGCCAAGGATTTCGACGACCTCGCTGATTTCATTTCTTTTGAAGTAAAGATAAAAATCAGATGCTTCTTGAAACACTTTTTAAAATAAAATAAAACCTATATTATAACGCGGTTTTCTCATAAAAATTTCTAATATTTTTTTCAGGCCATAGCGAACCTCAAGACGTTGTATGAGTCAGTGGATGACATTGATCTGTTCATCGGGGGAATTGTGGAGCGGCCGCTTTTCGAAGGTGGAGGAACTGTTGGACCCACGTTCACTTGTATTTTGGGTGACCAATTTGCGAGACTGAAACGAGGAGACAGGTTTTATTACGAAGAAGGGAACCAAGCAGGTTCATTCACACCAGGTTCGTGTATTAAAATTCAACTGGAATCTCACCATAAAAAAGCAACTTTAAATGAAGTTCATAATTCAAGAAGAAAAAATACAGGTTTTATTACGAAGAAGGGAACCAAGCAGGTTCATTCACACCAGGTTCGTGTATTAAAATTCAACTGGAATCTCACCATAAAAAAGCAACTTTAAATGAAGTTCATAATTCAAGAAGAAAAAAGGGATCGTGTAATTTGAATTCTTCTCGAAAGTGGAATTTCGGAGGGGGGCGCGGTTTTTTTTTCTCTGGCGGATTTGACGCTCAAATGCAAAGAGCTACATTCATTCTTTCGAAAAATAATTTAGCAAGCAGCACTTGCAGATTCGAATTTGCTAAAAAAAATCTTGACGGAAAGCAGGAAAGTATTATAAAAAGAAAAACTTGCCTACGTATATATAGAGGTCTTTCTCGTTTTGCAGGGGGTTTCAACGACGAAATCCTCTCTGCAAACATTTTTTCTTGGTCTGTTGAATATAGTTTTAGAGCACATTCACCTGCAGAATAAAAAAAACCAATGAATTAAAATAAGGTAATAATTTTTCCGGCTATAAAATTTGCATTTTAGAGAATTTTATTTTGCCAAAAAGCACGATCAGTGGGAGATCATTACACATGGAAGTGACGAAGTATTATTAATCGCAAATTCTGCAATTAGTTCGATCAATTATGATATCCCAAAAATCGGAAATCAATCGTCTTCAAAATTGAAATGAAGGGATATCATATGCAAACATTGTCAATTTTTCTTTTTTTTGTTCCAGAGCAATTGAGCTCCATCAGAAGCGTGAGTTTGGCAAGAATCATCTGCGATAACGGAGATGATATTCAAGCCCTTCAGCCCCTGGTTTTCTTCCAACCATCCAACATGTGAGATATTGTCTAAGATACTTCATATGTTTTTTTTATATAGTCAAATTTTATTGATTTCAAATTTTCTCCTGAATCAGAAACCCAAGAATGCCATGCAACAGCTTCGCCATACCAAGTTTGGACCTGACCTTGTGGCAATCCATCACTCAACCGAGCCAAAAACCGGGTTGGTGAATTGCAAAATAAAAAAAAAACAAGATCAGGAGTTGGATTCAGGAGCATTAATTTTTTGCACGTACTCGTGATTGGAGTGAGCAATCAAATTGAGCTTCTAGCGCAAGTCGATGTACGTCGTCTTTTGTTCAGCCAATCAATTCTTTTTTGCGCGTTTCAAAGTTCAATCGCAAGTATTAAATTGACTATTTTACACAAAAAAAGCGAATGGCATTCTTTTCATTCCGTGTACATGCTATACCGTGTTTTTAAAGAGGAAAAGACGACAACTCAAACCTTCCTGTGTCAAACATTTTAAAACCCCCGTTTCTTAAATCCTTACAAAAATGCATTGAAACATTTGTAAATCACAGGCTTTCCGTTTCAAACTTAAATATCTTGAATTTTCTGGTGGCCTTCTGGCTATCATTTGATTGATACTAGAGAGNATTTTAAAACCCCCGTTTCTTAAATCCTTACAAAAATGCATTGAAACATTTGTAAATCACAGGCTTTCCGTTTCAAACTTAAATATCTTGAATTTTCTGGTGGCCTTCTGGCTATCATTTGATTGATACTAGAGAGAGAAAAGCAATAAAATTCAATTTGATGTGTTTTGAAAGAAAGTGGAAAACTGAATGGGCAAATGAACCAGTGTCTTCCAAGTTCAACATACTGTCAACTCATTTATGAGGTAATTTAAGGCCCAGATTAGCACCAATTACAATTTTATGATTTTTTAGAGTATATTTAATGTCACTCTGGAGTTTTACTCCTGTATTAACCACGTAGTTCTCAAAGGGGTTCAGTTCAGAGTATAAGGGAGTCTGAAGGTAACATATTTAAAACTTACCAGAGGATGATACCTTAAAACACTCAACATAATTCCAGGAATATAAAGAATGTCTCCCAATTGAAACTAATTCAATCAATATATTTCAATTAACACAATATGGACATTTGTGGGATTGAATACTGATACCTCTACAGGACGTAGAAATGTTGGGATTATTGTCTGTACAAATTAAATTCAAATGAAAAGGAGAAAAGGGAAGTTCCTCTATGCTGGAGTTTTTTTTTATTAGGTAAATGAATGGTAAATTGGTGAGAGAAATGCCCACAAACTTTTCCTACATAAATTTTAGGTTTGGAAATATCTGTTTCTGGTAATTTGGCATGAAACTTATTTGCATTTTTTTCACAAATTGTCCCTGTGTCAAGTCAGTGTCCTCATGTTGGGCCATTTTTAATAATGTTTTTGGGAAAATAAGTGGCCCCTATACGTTGAATTGTCTGCACATTGAGGTGTCCGCAATTTGAGGGTACTGCTGCCCATGCCACTGATTTTTTCCGTTTCAGATCAATGCGAGAAATTGTCTTGTTTCTTCATTGATTTCCTTGCGAAAATCCTGGAAATGGAAAAAGAACGAGTGTTTATACTACGTTGCGCCCTGGATTGACCAGTATTATGGTGCCGTGAGTGAGAATGAGGCTCATCTAGACCGGAAATGTATCCCGGCTGAGGTTTCTCATATAAATATATATTATATACATGCAGTATATGTGTTCAGTGTAGCTTTCTCCTTCCGGTTCTTTTCGCGTCTATTTTCATGGATGCCTCTCGGTTTTTTGCTCTCTTCGTCCGGCTGCGGATGTGGTCAGTCGTTGTAGCTGGGGAAAACCCCGGTGGGAAATTAACTCGGGTTTCTCTAGCCGCTGGGCCCCTTGGATTCCACAAGCGTAGCCCAAACAGACGGGTTTCAGGAAAAGTTCTCAATTTGTTTCTGGGCTAAATAGCAATATTCTGTCCGGTACTCCCGTGCATGCCAGACAACAAGTGACAAGTGAAGAAGAAAAGTCCAGAAAACCTGGGGTATTCACCCAAGTACCGCCATGCAGCACACCCCCCCCCCTCAAGATTGAGGCGAAAATACTGTATGAAGTATGCACAGGTGGAGATGAAATTTTTTTGGAAGTTTGGATGTGCATCAAATCACTTGTCTGTTATTGGCAATTTTTGGTAGGGACTCTTTTCACCACATCTGCGGCAAAGTTGGACTTTTTTTTTGCAGATTTAGGTGCACTCAAGAATGAAATTAGAAAAAAACTATGATAGTATGAACTGTGCAAATTCCAGAAAAATCCTAGCAATTTTAACCCTTGTGCACTGAAGTTGGATTATATCTCCAAAATTTTGTATCACTGAGAACTGGTAATTTAAAAAATGCAACTTTCGTACAAAGAGGCCTAAGTTGGGAGAAAGTCCAGCATTTTTTTCTAATCCAGCAGAAAATTGAGCATGAAAAATTAAATATCCCTGGCTAGGTGGCATTTTTCCTGCATTCCTGGCATAGGATCAGCATGGAAGATTCCTGAAAACGAAAGAGAATTTGTGTCCCAGATTTTTCCCTTATTAATCTTTTTTAAATACTGTGATACTAATACCTTGCATATTCCCTTCAGATTATTTTCCATATTTACTCAAGTACCCCATGTCATCAATTAAGACACACTCCTTCGATTTTTAGCTAAGAAGTTTGAAAAAATTCTTATCCCAGTGTGAAATGCACAACTTGGTTTTCTGTTAACAAAATTCTGATTTTAAAAGCTTTGTTGGGTAACATTCAAATTCAAGCCCGCTTGAAAATTTAGCTCAATGATGATGACTATTGCTTCTTCATAGAGTTGAAGGCCCGTATGAACAGACTATGACTATCATCTGTACATTAATGTTGCAATAAAAAAGTCTTTGGGGAAAAGTTTTCAAATTTTAAAATATTTTCAATTGAAAATCAGTTCCCATTTCAGCCGCGCAACTAATTTTCTGCCGTAGTTTTTGGGGAAAAGGTGCGCATTTTACTTTGGTGAATAGGATTCTTCTTCATGGAATAAGATTTTCAGAGATGGTGGTCATCTGTATATACCTGTGAATGAAATCCCTTTGTTTCTTGAGAATAAAAATATAAAGAGATTTCGTTCCAGCAAGTTATATTTTTTTCCACAAGAATGAACCTGCTTGCACCGGGAGGAAGTACTTTTTTAGGTTGATTTCAATATGACCTCCTCCATATTCGTCTATGTGATGGTCACTGCAAACCAAATGACATGTAGCACTTTGACACTTATGGGATATCCACGTTCGAGAAAAACGATTATCATCCAGTTGACCTGGAATGCAATCAGGATGAAGTTTCTATTGGAGGATAATGCGCAATGAGACTTGATTGTACAGTATTGAAATTCAGTTCAGTCCAGCGGAGTTCGTCTATAATTAATCCTCTCCTTGTAACAGGTTGTTAAAGTATATAAATGTATGCATGAATGAACCGCGGCGAGCTGATAATATATAAGTTTTAGTGCTCAAACTCTCACGCTGATTGACGTCAAACTTATTTTTCCGGGTATTCTCGGAATAATCCACAAACTCTGCCTAGAAAACTTTGCAGCACAACCCTCGAAATTTGGAGAGAATTTTCTCCAGAGTCCATGAGTTACAGAGGGACTGAGGAAACCGTGGACGTTTCGGGAAATCGAGACAAATGAGCTCGCAGAAGGTCAGACACTCGGCCGTACCCGGGTTCTGGGTATTGGGGGGCGAAATTGCTGATTAGACTGGGGTTCGTCTCTATATATATGTACGTATGTCTGGCCTCTCTCCTGTGAGGTCGTGAGCGGATTCGCAGTAGGGTCTCTTTCGTCGGGTTTCCCTTTTTCGTTCAACGGGGTGCGAAATAATAAACTCGTACCCAGACTCTATAAATGGCCACTGCATATATTGCATCATGTTCATAATATGAGAAAAACAGCGATTCAACCGCTACTGGAACTTGCAAAACATCAAATCCTAGTAGAGGACGGTTTTTATGCATTTTTGATGTTGAACCGAAGATTTTGAAGGAAATTGTTGGCAGTTTTAGAAGAAAAAAAAAAACACCTCACAATCTATACAGTGCGTCAATCGACAGAATTTTTCCAGGTTGCAAATGATTTTTTGCAACGTTTCTAGCGTTTTTTCAATTTACGGTGACCGGAAGAAGTAACCGTGTGTCACAACAAAAAGAAACGTGCAGACGATTTTATTTTTGGGTACACTCCAAGCTCGGAATTCCTGCGCCAACATTCAAAAGATTTTGCAAATGTGGGACCGCCGTGTCAAAAATTGAGAAAAATAGACAAATTTCAATTTTTTAAAATTTGATACCCCGAACAAATTTAGCTGGTTCTAGGGAGAAAAATTTGCAATCTGCTTTGTTATAAATTTACTCCGTATAATACTATATTATAATGCAAAACGTGCCAATTCTGTGCTTCCATTTTTTAGTTTTTTTAAAACTTGGTTTGCATATGTGCTTGTTTCCTGATTTTTGGACTTTTTTCATGACAAAAGAGAATAGTATGTGTGGTTTACATCTCTAAGGTTTTTTTGGCTTATTGAAGTTTAAAAGAATAACTTTTTATTGAATTGGTCGGAAGACTTGCAGGAAAATGTGAAAAATAGAAGAAGGGATGAAGAGTTTTCCCATTGAAGTCCATGAAAAAATTTGATTCAACATACGATTGGATATTCATTCCTACAAATGATTACGTCCTCATTTTTCAAAAAGCCTTCTTTTTTTTCAGAAGGTTCTGATAAAGTTTTCTGGAGGTAAATAGTGTAAAAAAAAAATTAGCGGATGCGTAAGTTTTCTGCATTTTTTTGAAAATCAAGATAAAGCCTCCTTCATATTCAAGAAAATAAATTTGGAAAATTCTTGTCTCAGAATTGTATATACACACGCCTGAGGATTCGAACTGAATTAAATTATCTGCATACATTTGTAAATTCCAAAAAGCCCAGCCCTCCTTCGA